CCAGGTGGCGGCGTGCCCAACTCCCAGGTCTTGTTGGAGAGCTGCGACAGAATCTCGTCATCCATCGAAGTTCTCCACTTGTCCGCTTGCGGACTCGCCACCGCTTCCTCATAACTGCGCGGCTCCTGCACCGCGCTGTTGCCTCCGCCGCCCGCATTGCCGTCGCCTGCCTCAGCATAATTTGTGCTTCCCGACGCTTTGTTAAGCAGCGGTGGACTGCCCAAATCTCCGCCGCCGCCGCTGCTGTTGTTGGCTGGGCAGACCGTGGCCAGCGGCGGGTGAAGAGGTTGCCGTTGGCTGCGTGTGTTGGGGCGGGGGGGGGGCGCTGGGTTCACTGGGGGCGATGCAACCACTGGAGGCGGCGGTGTGGCGGGCTGTGTAGAGCCGCCGACGGGGTCGCCGCTGCCAGGACGGGCGGGGCCAGCGCCGAAGGAGGTGCCCGCCCGTTGAGACGCCAGGCCGCGGAGGTCGTCGTCGAAGGTGACGTCGCTGCTAACAGTCACCTTACCGTCGACGAGGATGCGGTGGGCGGCCGTGCCGCGCTCTGGTCCTAGGTAGGTTCCCGCCTCTGCGCGGGGACCGAGCTTAACCTGCTGGCTGGTTGGGACGCGGACGTATGCCAGGCAGCCGAAGGTGTGCAGGTGACTGACGTCGGGGGTGACGCCATGATAAGTTGCCCACGGCGTAGCCTCCCGGCCCTGAGAGGGGGAAACATTGCGCAGGAGGTTGGCGTATATCACAGCTTCCGACCAAAAGCTGTCGGGGAGCGCGGCATCGTACAGCATAGCCCGCACACGGTCGAGGAGCGTGCGATTGAGCCGCTCCGCTGCACCGTTCTGCTCCGGAGTGTACGGCGCCGAGTGGGTATGCGCAGTGCCGCGCTGGCGTAGCCACTGTGCCAGCTGCTCGGCGACAAACTCGCCACCGTTATCACTATGAAGGGTGCGGACCCGTGCACCATTCGGGTTGCGAGCCTCCAGCTGCGTCACCATGTCCTGCAGCGCTTCGCCCACTTGGTTCTTGCTAACCAGTGTGCGAACGGCAGACAGACCGGAGGCACCGTCCAGCAGCGTTAGCAAGTAGCGAGCCCCTCCTCGGCCCGTGGTCGGCATGGGCCCGCACAGGTCAGAGTGTACGACCTCCAGGACATGCTGAGGCCGGTTACCGCGGCTGACGTGAGCTGTAGCTGTAGTCTTCGCTGTGACATAGGCTTCGCAGACACCCTCTGCCGCCTGATGCAGCGCCGCGGGAGTGACCCGTGGTCCATGTACCAGCTGCTTGGTGATAAGCTGCTCCAACGCCCGGTAACCAAGGTGGCCGAACTGGCGGTGCAGGCGCTGTGCTGCTGCGAGTTCGGCGGCTGAGCACTCAAGGGCGCCCAGCTGCCCTTGGCCGTTGCTGGCGCCGTTCGACTGGTCTCCGCCGGTGTCACTGCTGCCGGCACCGTTTGGCTGGTCCCCGCCGGCGTCACTGCTGCTGGCGCCGGCGGCAAATCTGCTAGCGCTGGTACCTCCGCCGGCTCTGTCTTCCGCAGCGCCGAGCGCACTGACGGCGCGTTTGGTCGGCGCCAGCAGGTCCACGTCCATGACGTAATGCCCACGCTCGCTCCACGCGGTGATAGACGAACCGCCGTGCGGCAGGCCTACGTGCGAGAACCGGCGGCCCGCCTTGTCCGTGCCGAACGTGACTGAGCAGCCGCGCGTCACGAGAAGGTCGACAGACATGAGCGTCAGTCCCGAGCTGGGGACATGGAGCACGTTGCGTAGCAAGACGGTTTCTCCATCGCGTGTCCGTAGGAGTAGCTGCCCTGTTCCCATGACGTCGGCTAGCTGGTTGTTCCCCCACTTAATTTGCTTGGGCGAGCCGGCAGGAACGTAACTGTGCAACAGTGAGCGGTCAACTGTAAGGTGGTAAGGTGAACCAGAGTCTAGGACTACTGCTGAACTGTTGCCACTGCCACCGACGACCAGCACCGTGGCACGGTTCTGGCGTGAGCTTACACCGCCGCCGCCGCCGCCACTGCTTCCGCCAGCAGTGTCGCTGCCGCTGCGGCGGCCGTTGCCGCGTCTAAAACGGCCGCGTTCTCGCGTCCTGTCGCCCCCGCTGTTATTGCCGCCGCTGGTGCCTCCGCCGCCGCCATCACGATGGCGGTTGCCGCTGCCACTGCTGCCGGGGGCCAGTACTGCATGGCTGTTCAAAGCGCATTGCTGCGGTAGAGGCCTACGGACACGTCCGCCAGTTTAACGGGGCACTCACGGACGTAGTGCCCAGGCG